TATTTCAGGGTGATGTAGGCTTTGTTCCGGACAAGAGAGCCGTGTGAAAAATAAGCTTTTATGAGTCATTGTTTGATTGTTTGGAGCAGACCATTGTGCTTCTCAAGTTGCTTGCGCAAGCCAAGTGTTGGTTTAAATTATTAATAACGGCCTGCTGCTGGTATATTTTAGTATGATCCTTGACGCCATATCTGCACAACAATACTGCCGGCTCACATGGGGGACTCCTCACATGATGGCTGTTTCTGAGCAACAGAATTGTGTGATCCTTACTGTAATTTACAAGCATATGTTCCACAATAACTACTGAATGGAGCACAATTCAGTGACAGAATTAAATGTCTGTTACAAGCATAAACACTGTAGATACCACCAGTAGATCTACCTTTATTAGGTTGTCTTGTGACTCACAAAAAATAGTCATGTATTATAAAGTTGACAGAATCTAAGCCACTGATCTACTGATGAAATGGAAAACTGTGTCAACTGCAACCACTAATTGCCAGGATGTCCTTCGGCTATGACGCCTAAAATGATGACTATTGCTTGCAACCCTGTGGCACAACTACAGCTTGGATAACCATTAAACTGGTCAATATTCATTATTACTTTAAAGCCTATTTACTTAAATGTCATGAATATGGAGTAATCGTATTAAATGAGAGGCAAAGACATCTATTTCAAAGATTGAAGGCATCTTTTTCTTTAAAAAAAACTTGAAACTTCTGTACTAAGCCATAACCTAAGTAACACATTGAAAATAAGATGTGTGTTGCTTGTAACCAGACTTAAAAAAAAAAACAGTCAAAGTAGCCACTGTGATGTCACCCATTAATTGTGGAATCCTGTTTTGAAGCCTTGAGTTCACCATTTTGGATTTTATTTAAGTAAGAAGTTATCATGTTTGGACAAGAGAGTGAAGCTGTGGAGGAGCAAGGTGTGGATCAGTCTGTGAGCCCAAAGACGCAGCCTGTCACTCAAACTCTCGACACCCTCAATTATGTGCAAATTTAAGCCTTAATAGAATGTAAACTGAGAAGTTACATAAAAAGCCCCCATTCACAAATAGATAATTTAGCTATAGAGACCAAAAACACTTTTTGTACCAGGCTGTGAACATGTTTATATGTACTGTAAAGTTGAGCATTTCAACATGGGTGTCTATGAAGATTGACTTGCTTTTGGAGCTTGCCTCAAGTGGCCAGTAGAGGAACTGCAGTTTTTGGCACTTGGCTTCATTTTTCAGCTCCAGAGAGCCACTTGTGACACATTTACTCAAGCTTTGCCAAGGGTGGGGTTTCTAATGATGTACCTGGAATCTTTCCCACACAGGCATTATCGATAAGGACAATATTGTGGCCCATATCTCTTAATGGGTTAGTCAAATCCTGTAACTTTGGACTCCACACAACAATTATTGTATTACTTGAACTTACTCATAGAGAGTCATATGTCTTGTCAAAGTCTGACCAGACACTGTCTGGGTCTTAAAATGCAAATTATATTAAGCCCATTCCTGTTTGATTCTGGCACACTGCTTTAAATTTCAATTTCATTTACTAAATGCTGTGATTGAATTTAAAGAATATAGTAACTGTAATATGCAGAGCACAGTTCAACAATGATTATACAGGTGGTTTATTGGTCAACCTTGTGAAACTGATAGTGTCTCCCACCTTCGTTATCGCCTATTGTTTACCATAGATACAGCAATCCTTTAAGGAATGGGCAGGTCTCTGAGTGAACCATTTACTTAGCAAACAAATGAGGTACACAACTGTGGCATTCCTGAAACACTTAATCAAGACTTAATGGATCTTAAGAAATTAAACATCTGTGCATTTTGCAAATTCAAAAAACACCCTGTGAAAATAGATTTAAGATCACAGTCATGTCTACTAACTACGAGGCAAAAAACTTTTCCACAGGTGTAAGAATCAGCAAGAACCAAAGGAGTGGACAAATAAATCAATAAAATCTGACACTGGCTTTTCACTGTATCGCAGTAAAACCAGGTTACAGCATTTTTTTTTTAAACAATGAATGATGAAATTACAGTTCTGGGCCTTACTATTAAACTGTGACAAAGGACACTTTTCTTAGCTGAAGCACTTACATGCCCACTCAAAGTGGAGTGGTTCCCTCCTGACCTCTGGAACCTGAGTGTGCCCACGCTGTCCCAGGAATTAATGAGTATAGTCTCCTGCATTTCCCCTTATACACTGCTGCTGCTGTCTTATAAACAACAAAAAACACAAAATAACAAATTATCTGACTGCAATATAAATACCTGTAATTCCACTAATGTACTTCTATGTCTGTATGTGCTTGAATAGCTCTTAAAGACAAATGTAGTGAGTATAACATTAAATAATTCTCATTTGCGCCTCTAATTCCTGATACTACAAGTCTGTTAGTAACAAAAGAGGCTTGCGTTGATAACAACTAGTTAAATTTGCACAGCCAAAACACAGTCGACAACCACAGTAATAAAACTGTAGCACTGCTGAGAACATGGTCATGACTATTAAATCACTGCAAGCCTCACATGGTGTGGTTGTTATTGTATCGTTTAATGAATATCTGCCATTATCTGATGCAACACACCATAAAGTAAGATACTAACAATCAAAAATGTTCTCAAAGTATGCATTCTTGTTCAACAGATCTGTATCATGACATCACATATTAGCTAAATAATCCTTTTTATTTCTCTGACTCTGCTCACTCCCTTTTCTTCACTCCTACTGACAGGAAACAAGGCTCAGGTTGCAGTCCAACTGTCACTACAACAAAAACTATTCTCAGATAACAGCACCTCTGTATGTACTGCTGTGTGGCTTTCGTGGAGTCACACCGAAGTAACACACACCTCTTCAAATTGTTTGCCCAGTTGTGAATTATGAATGGTAGGTGAGACTAACTGGACTTGTAAGACATGTTACAAGGAACCTCACTGGAAGGAAAGGGACGATGAAACCAAGCTGCTTCACAGCTATCAAAGGGAAATACTAAAAGGTGTGTCCCACCACCCACTTGTGAATTATTACTACAGAATATTACCAGAGAAATTATAAAAGTGAAAGCTCTACATTAAAGCTGGTACCTGGAGAATGTTTGATTAGGCTATAAACTATTTTAAGCATTACACTTTAGAAGTGTACTCATTGTTTATGAGAGTTTCTTGTTACATGCTGCATTGAAATGAAAGTGGAACAAGATCTTTTAGATAATAGCTTAACAGATCCTTTCAAACACATCCTTCCCCTACACAAACAAAACAAACACTGCTCATTTAATGTGGACTATATAGCAGGTTTCCAAAGACGACTGTAGCTTTTGAGTCATAGACTGATAAAAAACATTATTACTTGTGTGTGACACTGGTCTGTAGTGTAATCACAAGAGTATGTCTCCTAACGAAAAGGACCTTGCCATTTACTTTAACACTGTTAGGGGATATTCCCAGTGAAATTACATCCCCAGGGTCTTGATTTATATAGAAAGCTTTTGCACCGGGTATAATCAATTCAAGAAAAGTACTCATGTGAAAAGTAAGGACAGAAAGGCACCATGCACACTGGCAGGATTGCTTAAGAGATGAATGGATTGTGGCTGTGCTTTTAAGCTTGTAAGATATGTGGTCCATGAACGCAAATCGGACGCTGCGCCAAGGCTGAGTAGTGTTACCGCCACACTGAGTTACCCACAGCCCATTTTCAGCCATCAGAGGGATAATCAGAGGCTTAAGTTCACCACTGTCGGCTGCTGTCAGCCCATACACTCATTCTGTCTCATTACTTTTCTCCTTCCCCTCTGCTTGCTGTACTTCCATCATTTCTTTAACTCACTCTCCTTACCCTCATCTCTCATTTTTTACTCCGTGCCCTTGAGTTTGCGTCCTAACAGAGAGCCACCCAAGCCAGGTGGTCCTTCTCTGCCTGTCCTCTCCCCAGAGACACTGGGCTTCTCGCCCAGACAGTGAGGCAGTATCCTCCCTGGCTACAGGCTGCTGCTCAGTCAGGCCCCTGATGTCACAGGCAACTGACAAGCTGCTGGCTCTTGGAAAAAGATAGCGGGGGACAATGCAGTGTTTTGTAGACAGCACAACACGAGGAGGCACTGATGACAGGGGGAGAAACATGATGGTACTTAGAGAGAAAGAGGAAGACAGGAGAGCATCAGTGAGTGGAGAGAGGAGGAGCAACAAACGGTGTCGACAGAAAATACTACAGCAACAGAGCAAAGTGAGGAGCTGGACAGATGTCTTGCAGTCTGCACCACTGTTGGGAACAACCATAAAGTGGTACACCTCAAATTTCCCTTTGGAGACATCCATGAAAATGTCGCAAGGCTCTGGCTCACAATAGCATAGCAGGAGGTTCCCCTGTGTTGAAAGCTTGCCAAATCGTTGCTGTCAAACCTCCAGACTGCTGCACCAAGCTGCTTAGTCATCACTGTAGCAAGGAGTAAGGACGGCACTAGCAAAAGACCCCCTCTACATTAGACTGACAGATCTGATGAGTAACCTGCCTGAGCAGCAATATAGATCTATCCTGTGAGCTTCCAGCTGAATTGAGCTATTCTGGTCCAACTTGTTCTGTCAGCTCGTGGCAGCTTAAATTGGTATCCAAAATATAGACTGCTGGGTGGTCAGAGATTTAACTAATGGGTTTGATCTTTCTGTTAATCATTGTGAGCACATCTACGGCTATATGTGCAGATGTTGCAACAGCATCAAGGCTTATTTAAGTTGATTTATCTAGGCTATCTCTGCTGTAGTTATCTGAACCCAGTCTTATCGTCAACATGTGATTCAAAGAGCAGCCTAATAAAACAGACAATTGTTTTGACATGCTTGTGATAATCCCTCTGAGCAACTGCTGCAAATGTGCTAAGTTGCCTTCAATGACAACCCCTGGTAGCATTTCCTGGACAGGCTGTGCTCCAGTGCCGGGCTTCAGTCAACATAACATGAGTGACATTTACATGATACTCACCTAATTTCATTAAAGAGGCCAGCAGCACCCATAATGAGATTTCAAAGGGGGTCTGTATGTGTTCGTAGTCGAGGCTCAGCACAGGAAACGCCTTTTTAGTGTAGTTATGTGCTTTCTCGGTTGCTTTATGTTCGTTCAATTTTTCCGTGTTGCAGCTCTCCGGAGGGCTGGCAGCTCCAAGAGGGAACATGAACCCCCACAGCAGCACCAGAACCATCAGCAGGAGCAGCCCCCGCTCCGGGAGACTGGTACCGGTGCCAGCCGTGCTGTGTGAACTTTTCCTCGAAGGCATGTTGTTGAATTAAAAAGAAAGGGGTGAACGAAATTAGTTGGTAAAAGTCCGCTTGAAAAACAAGCAAGTTCAACGGTCGGTTAGCTTAAACCGAACCAGAACTCCATTGTGTCAGTTACCAGTTAGCTAGCTTGACTTCGGTGTAGCCAGGTGAACCGTCGCACCGACACAGGCCGTTGGAGGAAAGCAGGAAACGCCAAGGTGCTGGGAAGTGGCAAGAGTTTCTTTTCACAAGTATGTCATAAAAAGCGAACCTAACCTATGTATTTTCTTTTACAGCGGCGTTCCACAAGTTTCTATGTCAGTGACTAACAATGTCCGCGTCGGGGGAAAGATGTCATTGTTGATGCTGGAGGCAAGCGAGACACAGGGGCATCCCCCTCCACGCCTCTCCTTCTTCTTCCCTCCGACTGCCCGAGAAACACGTCCGTGAGGCGGCGGTGCTCAGATACTGACCTTGAGGAGAAGCCACACTGCTGCCACATTGCATTTTGCCGCGCACTTAAGTATTTCAACTTTTTGATATCAGTGTCCGTGTATGCGGCATTTCCACCGTGTGTTCCCCGGGAGGACGAGACCTTGGTCGGGGGGGGCTCTGTTCAAGCGGGAGGATGAGGAGGGAAGACTTGGGGTTTGGTCTGACCCGGCGTCACAGGCTCGTCCCGGGGTTGTCAAGGCAAGTGGCGACAGCTCCTGTCTGCGGTGGTGTTTAGCTTCATACAACCTTCAAAACGCACACCCTTTCGCGGAGGTTTGGTGGGTGGGAGGAGGAGGAGTAGAGTGAGAGGAGAGGGGAGGGGGGTGGACGACTATAGTGACACCTATAGGAAAGGAGGTTTAAGGTATCTCTTGGGTAAGAAAAAGAATTGCATCTCTATAAATGCTCAGACAATTCTCACATCTGTCCCTGAATGCTTTGTCTGTAGTGTTAATAGCAGAAATCGGATGCCGTGTCAATGTCATAGGAATGCTGCTTACCTGCTTCCAAGAGGTCAAAGGTCAGGATCAATTACAGACCACACCCCAGAGAGCACTATTTTATCCTCAAGCACACTTAACCAGACTGCTGCAAATGCTCACTGCTTTAGTATTGCCACCTTAAATCACCATGACATCCTCCCAGTTGTTACCATTGCCTCGCTGAAAAGATTTCCCAGCCTATATGTTGCTTGACTGTAATCAGCTAATTACACAACTACCATTGCACAGATCAGTATTTAGCCTTTAGTTAGCCCTGGTTACATGAATCCATCCGTAGACATGTGCCCTGCCTTAATCTCAGATGATGGAAATTATACTTGAGGACACCAGATTTTGCTCCATGATCTGAATACTTATTAGGCCTGATGTGACTGAGCATTATGAGCAGTAATATTCTCAATGGCTGTCTGAGGAGTGGGGGTGCATACATTTACAGAAATTGACTTTAACAGGAATAGAAAACTGGGTATTAATATCCTTCAGGGACATTATGTTTGCCTTAGAGGTCAGGTGTCAGTTTTGGCTACCAACCAGGGCACATAAAGCAAGTTCAATATATTGCGGCGTACATGCATGCTGTAATGAACCAAGGGCGGAAGTGTCATTTCAACACGTAGGGGCATATGAAATGGGGAGTTTCCTCTGCCACATTTTTATGCACCGGTTTGTACATTTTGTCTTTAATTTTGCCAAAATAAAAGTTCTCTGCTACTATCAGCCCTGCAATAGTCTGGCGACGAGTCCAGGGTGTACCCTGCCTCCCACCCAATGTCAGGTGGGATAGGCTCCAGCCCCGCCGCGACCCCTGACAGGATAAGCAGTTAGAGAAAATGAATGACTGAATGCTACTTTCATGTTTTTTTTCCATGGGAGACAAATGCACACGTTCTAAATTTAAAGGGTGACATGTGCCCCGTGTCATCCCCCAAATCTACAACTATGTATGTATTGAACCAAGATGCTTATATCCAGATATAGTCATATGAAGGAGTTTACAGTTTGTCTTTTGTTCCCTCTGTGTATCTGTGGGAGTGGCCTTGGAAAGTACTTGCATTGCAAGTTCAAAATTATGACTCAACATAACCGTGAATTTCCAAGCACACCTTCCTGATAAAATCCCTTTGAAGCAGGTGTGTTGTTTTAAAATGCCTGCTTGTGTTTAATGCTACAGTCTTATTAAAACAGTAATGTTGACCCTGAGCAAACGCAAGGGCAACCCTGCTGTTGAGCTGCAATAGTTACTTGAGTAAATGCTCAGTTGTTGTAAAGACAGTTAATTCATGATGTTATTTGTCAAGCAAAAATGCCAAACATTTGCTGGTTTCTGCTTCTGAAACGTGTGGATTTGCTGTTTTTTTATCACGTATCATAGTAAATGAAATACCTTTGGGTTGCATCAGTGATTAATCAAGAAAATATATGGCAGATTAACTAACAATGAAAGCCATAGAAAATACACCAGCCTATGCACAGCCAGCTTCCATTATTGATTTTTGATAATTCAAACAACCCATTTGTCTCTTCTGTAATTTAATGTGAAATGACAGTAATTACTGTTGAGAAATGTCTCCACCTATGTATTCTAAACCGCTTTGAGTCACCAACGATCAGGCCACTAAGACCAGAAATGAAGAGACACATAGCTTGATTATAGTTTTGTGCTCAAATAGCTGATTTCTAGACTTTTAGACGAGAGATTGGCCGGTGATGAGAAGACTAAAGGGATAATTGTTCTGAGGCAAAACGGCTAAACACACATGAATTAGATAATGTCTAGTCCGTCAGAATGACCTGGGGTGCAGCATTAATAAGGTATGGTCAGTGTTGATAACAGTGTCCTGCAAAACACACACAAATTTACACAGCGTCACAGAGTTCAGGCGGCAAACTGTCTATGCCATTAGTCATTTCTGTCTCGGTCTATGTCTTTATCACTCTTTATGACCGTAAGGTGCTTTATGTTTTACAGCCTCCTATTGCTGTTGGGCTAAATTGTTTCCACTGCACTAAGATACAATAAGATACTGCATGTTTATCAGGGGAAACATCAGATACCCCTGCACCGTCGTCTTTTGATGGGTGTAGACAGCCATAACTGTATACAGTATGACCAACATAGTCATCTTCAACCTGAGCTTTTGTTTGGTATACATTTCTCCTAGCTATTTGGGATCAGTAGGAACCTAGACTCACAAGTCAGTATTTAGACGCTTTGCTTAACTAAAGACTGATGACTTTCTCCCTGATTTTGTGTTTAGATGGGTGGATACAATTTCAGAGTTTAAAAAAATTCCCTACGTTGCAGAACCAGTAGTAAATCTGCAGGGCGGTCATTCGGTGGCTCGCTGAACTCTTGTGCTTGTAAAAAAAGTCCAACTAGAAACACGTGTAGCGGTACAAAATAGCTCAACCATGCTAGCAGAAAACACAGTCAAAGTTAGTGGATGTTTGTCACGTTTGCGGCGACACATTCTCACCAACTAAAAGAAACAAACATAATCTTTTACAAGGCCATAACTCATCCGTCTGGCCGGACTAGTCCGGGTAGAAAACCAGCAGAGCTTTTAGCTATATATATAGCCTACGTATCACATTTTTCACATCACTGTATCACTGTTTAGACTAATCCGTTAGCCCTGTTAGCCCTGTTAGACGTTAGCGGTGTCTGTAATAGGTCATAATATCTTTTCCGGCGGATATCTTAGTTACAACATGATTGAGCTAGCAAAGCAGTTTTGTGTTGCTATGTGTGGTATTTATTCAGTTTTGGGAAATCATGATGTCTAGAAAGCATCAGTGGCTGCAGCTGACAGGGACAGCTAACAGCAGCAGCAAAGCTAACATCAGGACGTCATCTGTTAAAAGCCTCCCGTTGTCGGATACGACATGAAACTACTCCAGTTAACTCAATCATGTTGTAACTAAGACATCTGCTGGAAAAAATATTTTCTTCACGGATGAGCACACGTTTGATAAAATGGAGTTTAATCTCTTGGCATCCATTTTCAAGCTCTCTGTGTGTTTGTTTCCTTGCGGACGAAAAAAGGGGGAGCACACATTTCCGAGAAGGCGTGTCCTTTTCAAAAATGCAAGAGGCTTTGCTTTGTTGCCGGCTGTTTTCGCCGGTGTGTTAAACACACTTTAGAAAGGAGTGTCCCCAGACTATCAGAAGGCGGAGATCTCTGATTGTCTGGTGGCGAGACTAGTAGGAACAGGTAAGTATAAAAGAACAAAACATTGTCAGTAAGGATAGACCGATACATCGGCCGGCCGATATACCGGGCCGATATTTGAGTTTTTTACTTGTATCGGCATCAGCCGATACGCGCGTGGGTTCGCGGATTTATTTTTCCCTGGCATGATTTACAGACAGGCATCCACGGGCAGCTCTGTGTTGCTGGAAGACCCTGCAGCGCACATGCAGCGTTACCCCTCCCCCACTGGTAGAGTGGTGAAAGCAGCCCTGGAAGCTGCTTCAGGACAACGGTAAGTTTTAAACTTTCAAAGCCTCTAACTGTTAAACAGTATCGGCCCCAAATATCGGCTCAAGAAAATCGGCAGTCCATAATCGGTCATCGGCTAAGGGTGATGGAAAAAAATCGGTATCGGCATCGGCCCTAAAAAATCCATATCGGTCTATCCCTAATTGTCAGTGATAATTATGTTCCAATGTCCTGAAACGAGACAATAGTAAAGTCCCAATATCTTCAAGCACTTTTTTTGTTGTTACAGTTGCTAAAATTGGTCAAATTTGTTGCCATATCAAACTACAAACATCATTAATCATAAATCATAAATAAACAAGTTTCAAACATAAAATGTGATCAGGTTTTGGACCTTGTCCACTTTTGTGTCGGGATCAGCTGCAGACTCAGTGGTGCAGTGGAGGGTATACTCAGGTATACGGGGTATACCCACTTCTTTTTCTATCCAGTTACAGTATACCCACTTATCAGCTAAAAAGCCATTGTAATATATATGAGAGTATGCCCCCTTCCTCATCAGTAACCTACCTATCCACCTAGTAGTACACCCACCTCATCAATTACCACTACACCACTGTGCAGACTGACTTAGCAGAAATGGCTGCCGTCTTTTTACATGGATTAGTGTATTGTGCTCTTACTACCACTAGATGGCACAAAAATGTGTCCACAAATGAGGACAACAGGTCTAAGTTAAGTAGAATGAAGTATAAGGTCAAGTAAACCCAAAATGTGATGTCCTCATATGAAGACACAGGGTCTCAGGAGGATATAAAGTATACTGTTTTTGCATTAGTATAGAAGAAATCAATACACCTTCTTGATTTATGTAATAACAGAGCAGGAAATGATACACTATGTTTAATATAGGAGTCAAACTACAACTTCAGAATGACAATGCAAACTTCACAAAGAGAAAGAAAAATGTTTTTCTATTGACTCAATACTTATATATTGTGTTCCAAGGTCCTCTTGGCACTGTCACAGTTTTCAGCTTTTACCGAGGACATTTTGACACATCACAGAAGGAAAAGCCCAGGTATCATTTAACTGCCTCAGCGTCAGAGTCCTAGTATTGTGCATGTTAGCTCACAGTCACACAGTCATGACTCACTGGAAAACTGGAACAGAACAGAACCATTGTTGATGTTATTAGGAACAGCTGTGCTTTTCCTGCTATGCAAAGTCAAGATGTTCCATTTCATTCAGCTGTGAGTGGTGCATCCATTTCCTTTGCACTGTCTTGTTGGACAGAAGTTTTGTGTGCATGCTGTTTGATTCAGAT